AATTATTTTTACAAAATAAAGATAAGTGCGTCTTACTTATATCTCTAAAGGTAAAAGAAAGAAATAAAAATTTTATTTTTGCGTTTTTCAAGTGAATTAACAAGCAGGGAAATCTTAGTATGTCATCATTGATGTTCTCATCCTCATCTCAAATCATGAGCTGATTATTTTCCTTCAGTTGTTCGAATTAGTGGTTTTAAGTCATAATGAATTACTTAGATCGACTAAAATTAACCTAGTGCGAAAAGAGAAGATTGAATACAACAAGCGCAGCGCGTTTCGAGAAATAAGGTATGGTGGCAGAATCAGAATGCCAACCATTTATTTTATCCTTATTTCTTTATTTTTTGGAATTATGTCTAGTTCAGATGTTTTCAATCAGAAACATCTTCTAAATAAAGTACTTCATCTGAATAACAACAAATTCTGTTGTCTTAGAACATTTCACATCTACTGCATATAGTCCATAAAATAAAATTTTTATTTTTTTATTTTACCTTTAAAGATATGAGTAAAACTCACTTATCTTTATTTTATAAAAATAAATTTTTTTCATTTATTTATATTTATCTTTTGAAAATAAATGAGGAATTTATATTTTCCATTATATAAATGAACAATAACGTTAAACTAGCACCTCTAAGTCGAACACTTTTTCACATTGTGCCTTATGTTCAAACAACCACCATTGTTAAAATCAATAATTAAGACGTGCAGAACATATTGTATTGCATGTACTCTGATATTTTCATGTCGATCAGTCTCGTTTCAGTCAGATAAGAATTCTTTTTATTTCGTTTATAATAAATATCAATAGTAAATGTGTAAAAAGTAGTACAAAATGCAACGAATGGTCCGAACGAAACGGAAGGTGTATGTCGCAAATAGAGAAAGATATAGAGAATGATAAATCTTCCTCGACTAAAAAGTATTCTCAAAACAGTCTAACGTTGAAGAGAAAGAACTTTCGTGAGAAACAGCACATAATTTGATCTATACGACTAAATCACGTAACTCTGCTACCAGAATGTGAGTGCGTTACCGCTTTTACTCGTTTTGTTTATGTTACATTATCTGAAAATAAAATGGTAGAAATTTAAGAAACGTCTTGTTTTGTAGTTAAAAGTGTGGTTTTCAAAATCCATTCTCGTGAATCCACTGGGTTCGCTCCATCATTATTTGCGCTACAATTACAGTACAGTAAGCTGTAGTAAGCTGAGAAGTTCCATTTTTTTCGGAGATGCTGGTATTTCGATTATGGTACGAACACGAGTGAGTGAACCAAGTTGATCACAGGGTGGATTTGAAAAGCACACTTTCAGCCACAAAACAACATGTCTCTCAAATGTCTACAATGTTCCTTTCAAATATTGTAACATAAACAAAAGAGTGAAAACAATAAAACACACTGACACTCTGGTAGCAGAGTTACATGATTCAGCCGTATAGTATAGACAATCAAACTGATGCTCCAGTGGATGCTATTCGATATGTTGCTCTGCAAGAAAGTTATGTAATAATTGGTCTTTTTTAGCGTTTAATAAAATATCAAATCTATATGAAGTATTCTAACTATGGTGAGTGTTTGAACATAAATCTGCCCATTCTTGCTTCTTGTTTCACCAGAAGAATTACAAAATAAAAGTTTTGAGCGTTTTCTTCCAGGATGAAACCACTGTCACAACTGCTAAATATTTAATTGTCATATGCAAATGTTTTGCTGTTAACACTTTCCTTTAAAGATCTCCAGAATCTATCACCAATTAAGGCTTTTACTATTTACTTTGTTGAAAACACTACATCCCTCAGTTTTTATACTGGTAAAATTCTAATATATCAGTAAAAGCCAATTAGTTACTCCTCAAAAACTGTTTACATGGACAAACCAACATGCACTACAAACTGAATGTATCATGATTTTTTCAGATAGAAGTTGATGACAAATTTAAAATAAAAAATAAATATTTAACGACAAAAAAAATAAAACGACGCATTAATAATCGTCCGATAGATTTAGAGAAAAATGCTAACAACTGCAATGATATTTGTGCTTGCTGATTAGACGGTTACATATTATCGATATGAAAATCAGGGAATTATATTAGTTGATAAAGAAAAAAAAATAACAAACGACAAAGACAAAAGAACCGAGCTTATCTTGAGCAAACTATACAACGTATGTGCAACAACAAAAAAACAAACCTGTTGACTTTCAATTTCCTTTTGTCTCTTCAAGTGACAATAAAGGAAAACCATGATTGTTTTTTCTTGATCTATGTACAAACAGATAGCTTTTAGAACACTTTTAGTACGTTCGATAGTCTTTATTTGTCTGAATGTTCACTTTCGTCCATACTGTGATCTTGCAAGACATTTGTTCGCGTATTTCGTTGTTGACCGGAGGTCGTTGTTCTTGTAGTATATGGTTTTTGAAATGTTACAGCAGATGTTAATCCAGCTATTGCCGTTAGAACTGAAAAACGATTAGTAGGATTTTGGGAAAATGACATTGGATCACCACCTGAATTTATCGGAAAAAAAAGTACGTGTGTTACATTACATGACAAAGTTAAAGGTGACAGAATATTACCTATGTTTACTAGATTGGATGATGATTCGGTTAGCTGTTGTTCGCCACTGGAATGGGATGGCGATGATACTGCTCTTTCTCGTGTTGATGCTTGTTGAAATGAAGAAGAATAGCGAATGGCTACTTTTGAAAGTGAAGATGTTGATGAACGTTGTTTCGAATTATTTGTACTACTTGTTCCACTACTTGAACTCGTTAGTTCTGAGGTTCCTATTCCACCAACTTTGATTCGTTCATTCAATTGACGTTCTTCATCCATTTCCAACGATGATTCACTTTCGCTCAATTGACGACACAGCTGTTCACGACGTTCAACCTTAATTAGACGAATATATTTGCTCTAAATAAAAGAGAGACTAATGAAAGTAAAACTATACTTCTAATTGTAATTTTCGTTGTAGTTTCAAATTTTCATTTCGAATATCTCGTTCTTCTCGTTCATAGTGTTCCATTTTTTCACGATGTTGGTCTTGTGTATGTAAAAGTTCATTTTTTAATTTTTCAACTTCACGACGTAACTGAGTGATATGATCAACGTTGACTATGGAGGTACGAGGTGATTGAATGACAAGAGATTGAGTCTGTTCTGTTGGCGGTGTTGATAGAGCATCATCACGAGAATGCGAAAGCGGAGACGATGGATCACTGGTTGCACTAATACTTGATACTGAATTCATCTGAAGAAAGGCAGCAAAATAGTAACACTACATAAATGAAAGTCATGGCGAATACTCACATTACTTTTAGTGTTCGATGAAAGTACCTCAGTATTCGGTTGCTCTAGTTTTTCTTGCAATAAACGCTTATCTGTTTCTAGTTTTTCCATTCGCTTCCACAATCTAAAGAGAAAATAATAAATGAAATCTACCACAGTTTTTTGAAACAAGAAAAACTCTTATACAACGTCTGCGAAAAATCATCTTACTTAGCACAAGCATGCAATAGATACAAACAAAAAAACGTACATATTCACACTTTGTTTTTCTATCTACTATCCATTTCAAATTAAAAAGTACACCACTATGTTTCTATTATAACTTTGGACAAAAAAGAAATAGAGACATTCAATTTTCATCATTCGACAGTCAAAACTGGGGCATGTAATTGAACAAAATCCTGCTTCAAAATGGTTTCTTGAGATTATTAGGAAACTAGGCCTTAATTTAAACATATCAATAGGTCTTCTGAAATCCCAGAATCGATACTTCTTTGGTGATGTAGTAACCCAGAACATAAATGAAAACATAGATGATCGATCACTCTGAATCTCTTGACAATATCTAATTTCATTAAAAACTCTCTTTAAAAAGAAATAGGTTATCTTAGATTATTTCATGGAAACCGGAAATTCATAACTAAATCAAATCGTTTCAAATCACTTCAACAGTTCATATATACTCTGTTCGAGCTGTTTTGCACGCTGACAGACGTTGAGGTACGGTAAAATTCATGAGAAAATGCGTTCATCTCCTTACCGAATTCTCTAGAAAACTTCGGAAACATATATAGACTCTTTTCGCACTTTAAATCACATAATCATGTGAAGCAGCTAACACAGCTGTCTCTGTCTCTTTTCCTTCAAACGGTGCTTAAAAAACTGTGGTATTTCTTTTCATTTGAGATAGACAGTAGAAATAGGTCAAGAATGATAAAACAAACGATCGGCGAAAGAATGACACCTGTGTAGTTCAAAACTTATTGCTGAATCACTTACCTATTGACAAGTGATTCTTGCTCTTTTTCCAAAGTATTTTCTAACTCAATTTTTTCACGTTTTAATTGTTCTAATGTATCTTGTTTTGTCATTGTTTCGGCTTCTAAACGTTTAATTCGTTTCATTAACTTATTTACTTGTGATGCTTGTTCTTGTTCGAGTGTTTGTTCAAGATTTTGTTTCTCATCACGCAATTGTAATAATTTTCGTGATAAATCATTTGTTAAATATTCCTCTTCACGTTCATAATTGTTGGCTAATGTTTCTTTTTCTTTTTTTAATTCTTGAATTTTTTTTAACAATGTATTCGAGATGAATTCTTCTTCTTGTTCAGCACGTGCTTGAATACTAACACTGGCACTAGAGAAGTAGCCAAAAAAAGCAAGTTGTAAGAAACGATCATAGTAAAGAAAACATCGAGTTGTAGGTGGTAACTAGTGTCTGTTGAGTAATGGAAGGAAGTTAAGCTCAAGCTTAGTCCAACGTATTTTTTAATTCTAATAGGTCTCATTTCTTTTGCTCCGCATCTGTTATCTGACGACAACAATAAAAACAGTGTCTGACAAAGGTTTTGTATTCAGTCCTGATCAGATGTATATAGGACCGGAATCGTGAAATTATTTTTGAACGAAAACGGTTTCGTAAAATTTTCTAAAAAATCTCACTTTTTATATATTTGAATGAAAATTTTCTAACCTGCCTTTTATATGCAGTAGAAGTCTGACAGTTTTTCTTTAAAATTGGCGCTTTCTGTACCTTCTAGTTGTTGTTTCATACAACATTTATCGACGTGCATAGTTTAAGAGCACACAGCAAGTTTCATAAAAAAAATCTGATATATATGCGAATACCTTCTTTGTCCACGATCAGGACTGAAAAAGTTTGCTCGCGCTCATGTCTGATTCTAATGTTTGCCAACTGTGTTAGCACTGCTTCCTTGAATATGATCGATTCTGACACAGAATGATTAAAACTGAAAGCTCGTAAGATCCCTCAAAACTATGCTGAATTTTGCTTCCAAGGCTCGTCCTATCCTGTTTCGCTGAAAAATTAATTGTTTGTGCACACATATCATCGATTAAGAGAGCGTACATGAGTGGATTAACGAAAAATAGCATCTTCTTAGAGTGGCCTTATTCGGTTCCCTAGCCAAGAACCCTAGTGAACGTATTTAGTACAAGTACTTGATGAGTACTTGAGAAGTAAGTGACACATTAAGCACTTGGCAAGTACTTCAGCAAGTACTTGAGCAAGAACTTGCCGAGTGTCGTTACTTGACTTACTTTAGCCAAGTACCGGGACAAGCCAGTCACCCTTTTCTTTTGCATTGATCGCTTATCACAATATCAATCATTATACACTTATAAAATAAACTTATATTTCTTTATATACTTTATAACTTATATATATCTATATCTACTCAGTTGAACAAACCTAGTAGCCGTGTATGTATTTGCGAAAAATTTTCGAAAAAAAATGCGACTTCAGTGATGTGTCTACCGAGAAAAAGTGTCTTTTGTATGACTACATTGCGTCTTCAAAATAATAGACGTCTTCTATATGTCTTCAATGTGTCTACTGGTAGACATATAGAAGTCGCATAGAAGACATGTGAACCAGAAAGACGCTTAGTAGTCACATCTTCTCGCCTTCCATGTGACTCTACTAAGTTTTGTCTCACATGAAACGTCAACGTAAGAGGCCAATAAGACTAATAATTAATGTGCCTGTATGGTTCAGTGATGAACACATTCGTCTGATAAGCGAACAGAACGAGTTCAATTCTTGACAGAAACGAAAACTTTTTTTAATGTGTCTTTTCTAGAAGACACATCAAAGCGACTTCAAAAGAGTCGCTAAAATACGGCTAAATGGGAACCGACTTCAGTGTCTTCCATGTGACTTAGAAGTAGACGGATTGTTGTGACTACCACAGGTAGTCGCATGATGTGTCTTCCAAATAGGCACAATTATGCGACTAAATGGGAACCGACTTCCGCGTCTTCCTAGAAGTCGCATTTTTTTTAGAGTGTACTTGACACAAGTACTTGCACAAGTACTTGGCTGAAGTATATTCACTAGGGAATAGTTTTGGGTGCTGTTATCTATGCTCGGGAAAGGTCTGAGATTATACGAGGCCCACTCCAACTACTTTAAATACTTTAGTAAATATATCACCTCTTAGTGTAGTACTGCACTGTTATAGAAAAAAGCGCCCTATTCTCATCAAACGTCAATGTTCTACTTGGAAAGGTAGAGGACCAAATCTGAACGTAATAAACAGCAGTAAGAAAAACAGACAAGTATTGAACAATACATCTCGTCAGTATCGGCAAAAGCGAACGTTAAATCCTGCGCAATGACGTGCTCAGATAATCGACAAAACGAATAAATGAAATCTATACATACTATTTCAACTGTTTAATTTCTTTTTGTGCTGCTTTCAGTTTTAACTTGAACGTATCAACTTCAACTTTGAGTACTCGATTTTCTTGCATTAGAGATTCGATTCGTTTTAATAAATGCTCACGAGATAACGTGCCGATTGAACTATCTGCGCGTGACGAGACATCTGATTCGTATTCGCTATCTGTTTGCATTGCTTGTACAGTACTAGAAACATGAGAAAAGAAAATGAACTTCTACGCTCTAGGACAACAAGAAGACACACTTACTTATCACTATTCATTTGAACAGAGATGAATAGGTTAACGAAATCTAAAACAAAACAAACATAACTATCTCAGTTATACAGAACACATGTCACAGTTAATATTAGAAGAAGCGGCAGATATCTCTATTGTTCTACTTGAGAAGAAACACTGACAGAGTCAGTCATGCTGTTACGCTCTTACAGACGAAAGAAGAAAGATGGGTTAGTGTGCGTATTCCATGGACATACTCACGAACGTCGATAGACAGCTGCGCCCTTTCATTTTGGAAGATGGTTAAAATACCAAAACTCGAAACAAAAGCCAGTCGTTTCTCTTGAAAATAATAAAGATGTGGCATCTGTTATCTAGAGAAGTTATTGCTACATTTTCTATACGCGCTTTTACACATGCACTATCAAAATATCTATCTTTTTGTTAAAACATAAACAAATGTTGCCGATGAATTTTGTTTAGTGTTCAAAGGTATTTTCTCTCTTGTCCTTTTTATATATAGAGATGATCACACTTAAACTTTTAATCATCATCTTGTCAATTTTTGCCACCAAGGACAAAATAAATCAAGTATAAGCGTAAGAAGAAAAGAAATTTATCAGATAAAAGTTTGGGATTAATACTCGGACTAGTATTCCTGTGATCATCAGTTAGAGCTCATGAGATATTTATTATTTCACAGTAGAGCGGGATCTGTATTTGGTTGAGCTCAGAATGCTGATAAGAAGACTCATATTTAGTCAATCTTCCCAATCAATGCTCTTTCCAGCAGTGTTGTCTGTTACACTATTTTGTGCTAATCAGATACGGGCTTGAATCATTTGTCTCGACTAGGTTTGTAATTAATATCGCATTCCCTCTACAAAAGTCATTTTTCTTTAATATACTTCATGATTACTCGTTCTCTAGCCCGTAGGTAGGAAAAAATGTGTATAATAACCATCTTTCCCTTTGGAGAAATATTTCATATGAAATACTGTTATTTACTTTTTTTTCTATAATATAATGAGAGGCCGACTCCCTCCCTGTTCCACAGATTCGATCACCAGGAACACTGCTATAATCCAACAATCGGTACGATGGTAATATCTGTCCCACAGACAGGGCGATTCCCTGCCGCACCAACCAGGCGATCGGACGTGGGTCTATCTGGGTGCCAAGTTAGCTTTAGGTTCAGCCTATATTTTGGTCTGTTGGGAGTTTGGGAGGATCTAGCACGACCAGAAGATGGTATGAGAGGTTGCTCCACGGTCGGCTACTATCCAGACGAGCCATTTCTCACACAGCTGCTCACTAAGGCGGCTCAAGTTTGTGGTTGTTCTGTACAAACCCTTGACCGTTGATCTCAACTCTGGGAACGGCTGTAGTCATCAGTTGCGGATTCAACTATCTCTGCTTACTAAGGGGTGGTACAGAATGGTGAGTCGAAACTGTGCCGGTGCTCTCATTTATTCTCCCCTATTTTATCACTGGATCAGGAGGTTGGACCCTAATACACTATCCACAGGAAGGCTTCTTCTTGATGTGCTTCTTTCCATAGCGACGGCATCATATTATATTATGTAGAAGCCTCAGGAGAGTCTGGGAACTGAGGGTAAATTCAAATGCAACCTTCAGGATGAGGCAGAAGTGGATTCTTAACATATGAGAGGCGTAACGTGGGAGTAGAAGTTCAAGAGATGACTCAGAACTTTGATCTTAGTAAATGTTGGTAGGATGTCAAGCGAAAAGGTAATGGAGTTAATGGACCACCCACAATTGGAGAATATTATGAGTTTTGGTGACTCACGTCGACCGCAACATATTGGCACTAGAAAACGATAGGAAGATAAAATCATGAGTGACATGGCTAAATTTCAAATCAAAAACTGAAGGAGAGAAACTATGGATAAACATTTACAAGTAAAACCAGTATATAAAGATATGCAGAAAATAGTGGCGGAATAGAAAGAATACTAAAACCAGAGACGGGCAATTGAAATAGCTCAGCCTACTGAAGCCAAGGCGCCTCTCAAACTATTGCTGTTCAAGTTACAAGCAATATCTATCCTGATTGCGGTAAAGTATGTGAAAATGAATTTGGTTTGGAAATTCATCGTCGGTCTTATAACAAAAGAGCAAATACATCAGCTGTAACAACATCACGCAATATTACTCAATTGAAAATAACTGAGACACTGAGTACAACATGAAATTAGCAAAGAACTTTATATGCAATACTTGAGAGAGAATATAATACTTTTCAAAACCAAACGAACAGAGTTATAAGGGAGTTATAAGATCGTACTCATTTGTAGTGAAATTTACAGATTCAAATTAGATCTAGATGGAGGGTTTCCAGCATTAATATCACTCGTTACAATGAAAATTCAGTGAAGATAAGTTCAATGGTCTTATAACAATAGAGCACTTTTGCCTTTTGAGGGGTATATCATTGAGAAGACGAATGTGCTCATTTGCTTGGTTTCAGAATTCTCTATGTAATTATTGGATCACACACAGAAGGGTTATGACTATTACACGAACTCTGAGGTTGATCTATGTTGTTCATGAATGAAAACGCAATTATATTTCTCAAATAATATTTTTATTAGGATATTATTCGATTCTGCAGCGTAGTAGCATCCAGACTTTCAATCACAAGTGTGAAAAACAAAGATAAATTTTTTCTTGTATATTGTGTATATTAAAACTAACGAGGGAATCTATCCAACTGTCGGACGCCGTTTGACTCCATATTTTGGCTATAAGTAGAACTCAGTGAGAGTAAGAAAATCCTAAAAGGGTTCGGGCCCATGACTCTTGAAGACCCCGTTTTCTGGAAAACCAGTTTTTCAAGAACTCTAAAAGATAACTAAACCCTTCTTTTAATGAGATATAATTGTAGCCCGCAA